ATACTGTATGTTTAATACAAGTTTATTGCAATCGCATTCTTTGGATGTGGTCTGCTTACTCTATATATTTACAATTATTGTATTAGCACGTTGATACAATGTGTTGGGGTTTAAGCACTGTAAAAAACATTCATTGTCAGTTGGAAAATAGTGCTGGTAATACCTTTATTGCTAATTATAACTGTTCCTAGACTTTGGGTAATAATAATGTAGGGCGAAATGTGTCCGGGGGGTTATGGTGTTTGAAAAGCATTTTTATCAGTCATAATGTAAAGTAAAAACAAAGTTGAATAAATTCCACTTTTAGGTGTGCAAATACCAAAAAGAGAAGGGGCTTTAAAGATACACTATAACTTTCTTGTTATAAAAATAGAAAATCATTTATTAATGTCATATATTTTTGAAACATGATATGAAAAATTTTTAAAAACATGATTAATCCATAGCACATATAGCAGTGATCCCATAACAAGACAATAGTATAATTGTAACAGTAAGAGCATGACAGAAGATTTATTACTCATAATCCATGATCTCTCATTATTATTTCTTTTTTTTCTAAAAAAAAAATTATCCCCATAATTTCCATAAAATATAATAATATAATACGTGGCTTATTCTGGTAACCCCGACAGGGGGGAATTTATGTCCTAAATGAAAGGAAATCTATACAAAGCAAATTAGGGACTGCCTCTCTGTTTGAGACAAACCTATATACAGATTTGTTATATCTGCAAGCATCCATAGACTTACAAGATATTGGGGTGTGATATTCTTCTCTCTTTTAATACTATCTTCATGCCTGATACAGGTTGCTGGTAGTACATCACCCCCTTATTATCCTGTATGTTTTGAGCTTATAGATCACAACACAGGATATATTTTCCTGAGTCACTCTGGAGTGTCCTACTTTAAAATTCATTAAATTACAGTTAAAAATGAATTGCATGCCTGCTATTCTTAGAGCATTTACAGTGCAGAAAACCAAATCCTCGGGTGAGCTTTTCTAGGCTTGTTTGTCATTTTCTTGACCCCTTTGAGAGCATTCGAGAGCGCCTCGGGTGCATTGCTTTAATGTTCCTTATATAATATGGTTCAGTTGAGATTTTGTTTTCTTTTCTTGGCTACAAATGTTTCTCAGATGACAAGGACACCAGCACTAGGGTTGTATAACTGTTCACCTTAAGTAATATGTCTGTACCCATGTCTATCATGTTTTATTGTTTTAAAACAAATAGCTATACATTTAAAGTAAAAACTAATTGCACACTGTCCATAAACCAACAGTAGGAAAAGGGAATGGTATGGGGACAGGAGTGGCAAAGTTTTTAGTTTTCTTAAAGGAACAGTCAGATCCCATCTGTTTATATTTGGCATATAGATTTTATAAGGAGAACACTTGTCATCCATTGCATTCACATCATATTCCTCTGAGTTTCTGTGGCTAACTGGATTGTCAACTGCTGTGTATATTATAGTTTATCTTAAAATGCTGCTCGTATAATTGTCAGATGTCTTTATATTGGCTTCCCATAATCCACTGTGCATCACAGCATTAGACTGAGAGTGGGGGGTTATACACTTTGAGCCCATACGGCTATGTATTATTGCACTGTACCGTTATTTTGTCAGCTTTAAAGCTAGGTTCACAATTGAGAGTCAGCATCTGCTGTTGTTTTTGGTCCATTTTTAAGTTTTTCATGTGCTTTTGTTTACGCCAATGCAAAGCAGGTTGCTAGGAGGAGACAGTTGTTAGGCATGAAAACAGATGAAAAATGCATGTTATGCACATAGGGTTGTCCCTAAGATAACTGGTTGGAAATGGTCTCTGGGGGCTGGGGTGGGCAGCGGTGTGCTAATTTGTCGTTTGGGGGAGGGATGCTGGACTGCACTATCAGCTGCCCTGTCCGGCGTTCCACCCAGCTTGCTGACATCACTGGTTGCCAGGAGCTTGGCGGGATGAAAGCACTGGCAATGTTGAGGAAATCCTCCACACGGGGAGCTGCCATGTCTGGTGAGGGGGCTGGGGTATCTGGCTAAGTCAGGGACAGTAAATTACTTTTTTTTGTTTACTTTATGAGGCTTGTGCATCACATATGAGTAGCTAAATTTAGTACTTGTTAATACTGTAATACAAGAGCCTTTATTTGTACTATAATGAATGTCAGTGTTGAAGAAAGGCAGGGAGTGTGTGAGGGAGCATTTCACGCCATGCTGTTGATAAGAATACTAATCAACATCCTTAGAGATAGGTTAACTCCTCTTCACAGCTATCCTGAGATGGCAATGAGCATAAAAGCCAGTGCAGAAGTATTATTGGCCATCTGGGCTCTGTTATATCATCAGAACCTGGGATTCTAGAAGGTAGCCTTGTAACATCACATGAATTTACGAGATATTGGTTGATTTACTAAAGAAATAGACTGTTCACCTAACAAAGTAAATGTTTAATTTACAAAGTGAAAGTTAGTGAATAAAGTGATGCTGTGTTCCCTTTTTTGTACCGAATCATGTGCTAGCATTTTTTTCCTTTCCCTCATACGTGATTGGATAATTTAAGTGAACACAGCTCCACCAAATTTACTAATGCTCACTTTGCAAGGTAAACAGCCTACATTTCTTTAGTAAGTCATTCCCACTGTT